TTCTTGTTAACATGGGCCAATTTCCTCTAAAAATTGCACATTTTAGGGAGTTTTGATCAATTCCAACGAAATTAGAATTAAAAACACCGGGGGAAAATATCCATCTTTGGAAAATCTTTCCCCACCCCTTGACAAATGCATCCTCTGAAAGTCCCTAAATTCTCAAATTCTTTGCGCGCATTTCTTGTTACAGTAGGCCAATTTCCTCTATAAATTGCACATTTTATAGAGTTTTCATCAATTTCGACGAAATTAGAATTAAAAACACAAAAATATTCTGCGCGCTTGGCGGACATTTTTAAGGCTTTTTTAGGTTTATGCTTTTAAGTTATTTAAACACATAATAGTCCCAAACTCAGGAAAGACATATTTAAGATGGATCATTTTAACCTAAAAGAAGGGCCTCAATGATGAGGCCCATTGATGGTGAAAGAATATGTTTGTAATAAATTAAACCATGATGAAAAAACTTATATTTAGTTTCAAACACACGTGTGTGGCCTATATTATTAATAAGATAAGCTATGTGCCGTATTGTTTTCTATATGGTGAGTGGAGTGGGTATGGTAAATTGCTAACCGGGAAAATAAATATCCACTCTGACCCAAGATCCCTGTTACGCGCCTGGTGTTAGCGCCAATGTGTGCCCTTGTGCGGGCAGGGGATGTGAACCCTCTGAAGCTGGAAAACTTGTTTTTGCGAAATAAATTGATGCAATTTGCTATTATAGGCCTAATCAATAAATTCCTCATCAACCTTAAATATTCTTGGAATTTACATAACATTAATGATGTCGCACACACCCTTCAGTGTGCAATGTGGCTCTCTTTGCAAGCACATCTAACATCTAAGGAAAGAAGAGCTTAGATTGGTACCAGATAAAATAATTTTGTTATCAACACTAATACATTATGCTAATTTTCATCTTTGTAAGCGCATAAGACAGTGCAAATTATTTCTGTGACAGTCTTTTGAAGTGTGTAAAGCTCCATTTTATCCAATACATAGTCGAAATACTGGGGGGGGGGGGGGGGGAATGATACAATGGACCACCCACCCCCTTGTCAAATATTGGGGATATATCCCCCACCCCCGGGATCTACGCCTATGCATTTGTAAGTCCATGCTACCCATTTGTAAGACTGTGCTACACATTTACAAGACTGCGCTACCCATTTGAAAAACTCCGCTATAAAATAGATTCCTGTGAGTTTCTGCGGCTAGGGGGCTTAGTTGTTATAGTGATAGACAGGAACTTAAGAGAACCATGAGAACCCATCTCATAAAGTGCACTTACTCAAAATCGATGGGAAGTCAAGCCGTCATCTATGTGAAATTATTCGAAATACAGGGCTCAATTTTATAGATAATAAATATGAACCAATATAAATCATAATTTCATGACATATCGATATTTATTAGGCCTATCCTTTTAAATTTTGGATGACCTAAGGTGAGACTACCAAATCCAAAAATACAACGGTCACCCGGGTGCGACGGGTGCACCCCCTTGGATACATTTCCAATGTTTCATCCCGGGAGATGCTGAGATAAACACTCTTTGTTCAAACATTACAATGAAGTCAGTAACTGAAAACAATTATTATTTTAAAAATGTATAAGTGATGTTAAAAATGCTTGGTAATGTACTATGATGTAATAATAATAATAATAATAATAATAATAACAAAATTTATCATATTTTTCGATGTTTCCTCTGTTATTATTCTGTGTATGGAGACCCACTCGATAGTTTGTCATGATTTACTGTACCTGTCTGTGTTGTTTTTACTTTTACTGAGTTGTTTATGTCGTATTGGAGACAAAATAAATGGAATGAAGTATAATGAAGTCCAACTAACAAAACGTATATAGTATTTTTAAACCGAAATCTAAAATCCCGACTCATCATTCTCATTGTTTTTACCATCGTAATATTTTTTACTCAAGTCAGTCTTCACTCTTGGTACAACTGCTGAGCTTATTCCCAGAATGATAATCGGTATTACAAGTTAATTCATCTGTATTACTTTTTCTTTGAATAACCGAATGAGCCGATTCGCGTAAGATGTCCACATAGGTTTCGGTATACTGTACAAAATACAATGCCACTGTGTACAATAAAGTTATCTTGGCCTGGTTACGTAAAGGCCAACTCAGACAGCGTCGGCCGACGCAGCCCGACGCGATTTGTTGTCGCGTCGGGTCTGTGTGAGTTGAACGCAAACGCGATGGTGTGCGTCGGGGGCATTCGCGTAGTAGAATATTAAACGTGTTTAATATTTCTCACGACGGCTTAAGACTGTCCCCGACGATAAATCGGGTCGTGCTGCGTCGGCCGACGCTGTGTGAGTTGGCTTTAACACCTAACTAATCCTTCTATAATGGGTCTATAGTATTGCCAGTTTTTTTTATTTCCCACCAATTAAAATATTAGACTATTCGATTTATTTCTTTTATAATCCTTCTTGTTAACTTATAACTATAATTAATTAGCAATCTCTTATTTGAAGTTAAATTTCGTGGATTCATTGAATATAATATACTATAGTGATTAAATAATTATTTTGAATAAACCAATATACTCAACAACAATCAAATAAATAAATACGTAGGGTTAAATTTTAGGTAATGTATATTTTTTACTATTCGCATATCGGACCGAGTATGATATACTATGTTGAATGTTTAAAATAAATCATTTTACCTTGAGTGTACCGTACTCGTGTTGTTTGTGTTTTTCTATCTTAAGAAAAACACAAAATTAACAACTGTAAGCTTTAACTTCGAGATATTACATTTTCATTTATTTTATTTCGTGGAGCAGAGCCGTCTTTATTTTTACATACATATAGAGAAAACAGACATACAGATACCTTGGTCAAAATAAAAGGTATCCGAACTTCTTACCATTTACCTACTTTAAATAATGATTGTGGTTTACAATCGCTTACATAACACCTATTCATCCAACCATAGAGAAAATAGAACAGAAGGAGTAACATCGACTTTATCGCTTATCTTTAATCCAATTAAACAGTGTATCTCTTTATACACACAGGTCCTCGCCGCTTAAGTGTAAACCCTTATAGACGCACTGGCGTTAGTGGAGTACTTAATACACAAACAATTAAACATTAGAAATACAAAACACATGCGCAGTTCATTATCCGCGGTTTGTTTGTGTGCGTGTTTGGTGTATTTAGATAGAGTTATTTTCGGCGAGAACATACATACTTTAAACGTCAAAATCGGCTTAAAATAACTGTTTCTTTTATCAGTTGTAAGTATTTGCTTATTTTTATTGTAAGAACGAAAGTGATGTCAATAAATAATGTTTGCAAAGGGTCCCGGTTGTCGCAGGTTAATAAAATTTAGTTCAGACGAAAGTAAAAAGCTGTATCTTTCATTCGGTACACGAATTAACCGTGTCCGGTCATGTCCGGTCGAGTTATTAAGATCATAATGTTGCCCCAAATCTGTTCGTTCGGCCTCTGTAGCGCGCTCATGTGTAAGCCTAGGACTACGCTTAGTCTCATTTGTAGTTTACGTCCAGGTCTTCACTTTTACGATTGTCAAGTTTGGCCCTTCAAAAACGAAAAAATTTAAAAAACACAGTTCACTTTTTTACTTACTTTGCCCACGTATTCTTTTGTTTTTAATAATTATAAATAACGAAAATAATTTTGTTGTAGGCCTAGGCTTTATAAGCCTAGGCTAGCTGTCTGCTGAGTCCTGCCCATGGTCCTACCTATCATTTTCATTTAAAAATCATTTTCTCCAGGCTATGGGCCGACCGATTATTATACAGTAATTATATTTATTATTTAGCCATAGATACTGTAGCCGAGTCTTGTCCATATCGACAGGCACACATTTTTTATTTATTGGTTTTGCAACAGTTTTTCATGTTGGAAATGCTTTTTATTTCATTTTGTAGAATCATGAACAACCACTCCATCTGAGGTCTTCCTGAGAATTTCCTGATGATGATGGCAAGAAACACCATTGACGAATTTCATCTTCGAAGAAAGAAGAAAACCAGATCATGTGTGGCATGCCAATTTTTTTTCCAAACCGAACGGTTCTTTTCAGAACCACCAAATTACAAATGAGATTTGTAGTTGTCTTCTTTGCTTGTCATTATTCTTGAAAAGTAAAACAATTACCCTAACAGTATTAACTCACCATTCATCATACTCACTATCTGATCAAAATTATGTACATTCATCACTTCACTAAAATTTCATCTGTGTATGATGCAGGATACATTTTAACAAACAAATATTACACTTACGGTACCTTTAAGTCTCGCCTGTGTATTTATTACCAATTTAAATTTCTACTATTTACATAAAGCCCATCCAACAATTTATGACAGTTCCTTCCTTTTTTAAAACTTTGCCACTTTCATTCTTTTAACATACACTTTTAAAAAAGCATTGGTTTTTATCCAACATTTACAACTATACAGTAGTTGCTTTAAAGCATTAAAAAATTGCGTCTCCAGGTCTGTTCTATTTTCAGATGAAGGCCACTTAATTGCTGACCCTACAGCTGATAGCTCCGTGATTTCAACTTCGTGCTTACTGGTCAATAAGAGTGACCTACATTACGGACTGCAGGACAATGCATTACTGACTAGGTGACAACTTCATGATGTCAACTTCGCGTTTATTGGTCGTAATTTTTCTTTAGTATGATTTTCTTTTTGTTTTTCATGTGGTTTTTGACAGACTTTTTAAATGAGTTTATTTTTTTATTTTCTTTTTTTTTTGTTATTTTAACATCACTTCTTATGGCAATGAGGAAAAGCCGTGTTCTGTTTTACAAACAGACATCATCATTGTTTGTTATTACTATAATATTATTAATATTATTATTACTGTGTTAGTATTATCATTATTATTGTTTTAGGTTGTTTATTATTATTATTATTATTATTATTATTATTATTATTATTATTATTATTATTATTATTATTATTATTTTTAATACAGAAAAACAGGATGTTCAGGACTTTGTCTACTGTTAAGAACAATGTCAAGTTTGCTTTTCTGTCCATAGTGGGCAGATATCAGCAAACCTCCGCTGTCAGATACCACTACTACAGCAGGCTGCTGGTCGGGAAATTGGAGCCATTTTCAAATGTAAGGTTAAACTCCTCCATATCAACCTTCGAATATCAGAAATTGGAACCACCTACTGCAAAAATAACTTCAGCTGATCTTGACGATGAGGCTGGAATGGTAAATGTAACACTTTCGAATAATGAAACGCGTCAGTATCCTTACGTCTGGCTGTATGATAATTGTCAGTGTGATGTTTGCAGGAACCATACCTTTTCCATTCGAGCAAGTTGTTTTACAACCCTTAACGTTGATGTCAAACCTCAGCATGTCCAGAAAATGGATGAAGGTTTGGAAGTGAGTTGGGGTGATGGGCACTCGTTTTTGTTTCCAGAGAAGTGGATTGTTTCGCATACATTTCCAGCAACGGTCAGTAACGAGGTCTTACCGTGGAGAGAGGTTGTTGAGTACTGGGGCAATGAAATGCAGAATAGGGTGCCGACATTCAAGTACAGAAGTCTTATTGAGAGTAATCAAGCCTTGAATCAGTGGCTTGAGGCGATAAAGGTTCACGGTATTGCTCTTATTCCGGATGCTGGTTCAGACATAGAAAATCTCGAAAAATTAGCAATGAGAGTCGGCTATCCAGTTCCAAGTAACTTTGGGTAAGTAAATCTGCTACCCACCTCAGGTTTATAAAAAAAAACTACCACTGAATTTATTATAAGTTTTCAGGGGCCTAAAGTCTCCCTTAACTCGCGGGAGTCCGAAAATCAGGACGGCCTCCTGCACTCATGCAAGTAAGCAAGAATCTTCTGGGCCCGTACCAAAGAAAACTTGCATTCAAATATAATTCTGAGAGTGGCCATTTCCGGTGCTATAATCATAAATTTTCTTACCTCAGCCTGCTCCAACCATGGTGGGGCTGATTAGTCTCCCCCCCCCCCCGCCATACCCTTCGAAAATGGCTTCTTCCAACAAACTGTCAACATTTACAATATGATTGTTTTTATAGACATTCTTTTGAAGTCCCCCATTTTAGAGAGCCTAGTGATGAACCGCATGAAGCAGCAGCATTGCCTCTTCATACAGATCTAGCGTTTGAACGAGTCCCTGAGGTACAGTATACAGTAATACATTTGCATTTATATAAATTGGCTATAATATATTTATATATTCTTCTTATAGGCTTATTTATAAAAACTAGTTTCTGTCAATGAAGTGGATATATTTACGTCACCGTAAACAAATCCGTAAACGATATATTTTTGTAAATGAAACAACACTTGCGCAGTCATACTTTAATAAACTTGCATTTTCAGCACTCGACATTAGCGTGGCCTCCCAGGTTGTGGTCATGATGTGAGAGAGTGAAACGAATACTTCTAGCTCATTATCACAATCATTCAATTATTTTATTTAATTGAAATACATAAGCTACTACTGTAGCAAATTTAATTAGTTTTAGTAAGAATGGTAAAATTTTAATTTAAATAGGCTACTGTACCTATCCGCTAGTCGTAAACTATTTACAAAAATTCATTCAACCAATTTGTGGATTCTCCATGTGCCGTCGATTCGATCGTGTGTTGTTCAGTGGCCATTTGTTTTTACTAGAAAAATTGTTGTGTCAAGGGAAATGACTATAATAAACACGTCCACATTTGAAGATTTGATTTTCGTGCACCGTGGATTCATGGTACAGTACATTCATAAATTTAACAACTTGCCTAAAAAGGGCCTCAGCAAAAGACTGAATGCTAATTTGGAGTCTGAAGGTTGAACTCCGCGTTAACGTACATTTAACATGAATCGACAAATTTATGTGACCGATAATGCAAGTTTTTTAAAGTATGACTGCGCATGCTTTGTTTCATTTACAGTACGTAAATATATCGTTTACGGCGACGTAAATATATCCACTTCCTTCTGTAGGCCGTATCAAACTTGAGAGAGAGTATGATAAACTAACTGAAAAAGGAAAAAAAATGAGTTCAGAAAGTACGGCCCTGGTATAGGTAGACAAATTGAACTACGGGATGATGTCAGGGACACAGAGAGGATTGCGACGAATGAGAAGAACACTATGAAAAGGGTTTCAGGTGATAGGGCGATTTAACAGAGTGTACGGAGAAAGAAGATCTTTTGACGATTTTCAAAACAGTGTCAACTACTTGATAAAAGTTGCAATAGTGATCCTCCTGTGTCCTAGCGATTGACTCTAATGGTATTGAGACTTTCCGGGTAAATTGCGGTGTATACAGCCAACTACATTACATTATATGGATATGATGATGTCACATTACACCCAAATATGGCATATCAGATTTATTCGTCACATAAAATTTGGTGTGGACAGAGCCTTAGTATTTTTTTTAGAAAATACTTTCACTTAAAAGTGCCTCCCCCTCCCCCCCCCCCCCTAATGTTCAACTTCAAATAAGCTCCCGGGCCCTTTCGATAAGGCCCAAAATATCAAAAATGCAAACTAAACCATTTTTATTCTTTACTGCTCCCTCATCCTTCGAATCTGAGCTACTGCAACATTGTCTGGGTCAATACATATTTATCCAATCAATGATCAACAAGCTCCAAATTCTCCAAAAGAAGGCTATCAGGATCATAGATGTAGCAAAGTAAATTTATTTACCCGACTTCTGAGCTGTCTTTTAATGACTTTAAATTCTTGAAATTTTAAGGTTTTCCCCCTCTTGAAAACGGTCAGGTAAACTTTCTCTTCTTATTACAGTAAATACAGACCTATTATGTGTATATATATAAAGTACATCGTATACATATTCTTCTTTCCATGAATCGTTGAACCACAAAGAGGAAGGAACCCCCCTCAAAGTAAAAAAAAAAAAACCAAATCCGCCAATGTGAATTGCGAGAAATAACTCTGTCGGGGCAGAGAAGCCACGGATATTTGATGAATTATGGCGAATTTTTATTATTTATTTGATAGGCATCGAGTTACTATAATATTACATCATGTAAGCTATGCTTTCTAATGTTGAATGAATAATAAAAAAAATTATAATTATTCATTTATTTACAGGACTAACAGGACTACATTTGTTGAGAGCTATGCTACCCGATGTATTATTATGTTCTTTATTCTACAGTAACACTGTATTTACCTTCCTTTGATGATTATTATATAATTTAACAGTGTTAACAGCTATCTTGATTTATATTGTATGCAACTATTTGTTTCTAGCCGTAATTATTGTGTAATGGAGTGTATCTGGTAGTATTTGAATCTGTTCAACCATGAAGCCTCCGTGGTCTAATGGTTATGACGCTCGCCTTGACAGCGAGAGGTCGCAGGTTTGAGTCCTGCCAGAGGCATTTTATTACACAATTTCTTTATTCATTTATTTACAGGACTACATTCGTTGAGAGCTATGCTACACGATGTATTATTATGTCCTTTATTCTAACACTGTATTTACCTTCCTTTGATGA